TGGCCTTCTACGTGTTAATCAGAAAGGAGTCTGACATTTCGCTTGTGCTGGAAGCTTGCTCCTGAAAAAGACTCCCAGCACATGAAGTGAAACATAAGAATGTATGTTCGTCGATAGACCAGTCATTCACCTACATAGTATTTCGCCATTATCATTGCGATTTTTTAAAATTATCATTAGCGTGACAAGGGGAAAAGCATAAGAAATTGGCAGGCATGATACAAGCATTAGCAATGAAACAAATTCACATTAAAAATGTTTTAGTAATGTTTGACGTTAGTAGAGTACTTGACCCATACTTTCGAGTCAGAAGGGTTATAATCTGAAAGCATCAACGTCCTGAAATGGATAAATTTTGCCACTTGTTTAAACAGAACATGGGCCTCGAATGCTTACAAGAACTAGCCAGTCCTGTTTAATGCTTCTACAATAGCATGGTTGATCTTTTTCCCCATCTTGGTCTTGTACAACACTTGCATCAAGAGCAACTCGCTGCAGTGAGAGTTTTACGAGCTTTCGCTTGTTCACAACGTCTGCACACACACTCAGCCGAAAACAGATGTACAGCTTTCAATATAATCACGTTATAAATCTCCCGCGCACTCTTTCGGTGTTAAGCAATAAAAAAAGGATCGTGTAAAAATCGCCGAAACAAAACTACGTTTAAGTTAAAGGTGTTGTGGATATTCCAAACTAATGCTTCCCAATAGCACTGGAGCAGTTTTCGATGTTATCGGGTATTGTTAGCAAGGTGTGGCCTACAACTGGCCACGCTGTGGGCAACGTCAGTTACCCGTTGTATACGCGGTGGCTCCAAATAGATGTACGAGTGCAAGGAATGTGTCAATTGCTACAGAAAAAGAAACTCACCTGGAAAACATTCGTTTGACGATGTGAGTCGAGCGGAAGAAAATAATGGGTTTTTTACGAAAGTTGGTTTCTAATTTTGAGTCTTTGAACAACTAATAATAATACTACAGGATAATTTGCAACAATACCACGAGAAATGTGTTGCCTCAGGGCTCTGGAGACCACCTGGAGAAGATTCCAGGCCACGTGTTGACAACGATGGAGACTGACTTTTTGAAGCTATTAACATTACATTTGTTATCATGTTACAGTGTAGTATCCGTTCTTTTTCCATTAAAAACGAGAGTGCCATATGAGTGTTAACGTTTTCTTTGGAAGCACCATGTATTTGCTTTGATATGGCACTTGCTTAAATGCCCCCACAGCATCTCAAAGGGCCCTCTCCATCACGTCTCATCTCAAACATTCGCAGATGACCCCCGGTGACAGCCGTCTCTGTGTGGGCGCAAGGCGCCTCATTTGGACCACGATGCAGGCACACAGTGGCCTTTTTCTTTCAGAATGACATCGCGCGGGATCTCGAACGTGTCCACTGCTAAGAAGCCGGCACGTGCTCACGCCCGATACACCCGCAGCATTAACCAGGGCAGCCTGCTTCTGTAAGAATCACAAGCCTTCCGCAAACCGGCGGCAAAATGTGCTACGCCCGGGCCATGTCACGGTCCCAAAACGTGGTGGAGTTTGGCTCAGCTCTGGCTCAACTCTGTTCCTGACACGAAGAGATCTCCTCGCTGACAACGTCAGACGCGAGTCGCGACCGCACACATCGTTTGAAATCCCACACCGCAGCATGAATCCCACACTCTGAATTTCACACAGAGGCAGAATCCTATTTCATCGTATATATGATAGCTTTGTTCAATACCAGCACAAATTAGTAACGACCAGCACTACCTCCATCGAACACGGATGGATATTAAAATGTTGTTAACCTGTGCATATTAAAATGTTAACATTTACATTTGTTTTCAAATGTTTCACGAAAACCTAACAAGTGGATCGCACGTATACAATCGCGGACACACTTTAACACTCCCAGATCAAATACTCTACTGGTGTTAAAACATAAACCTGATACGTTGACAAAGATGCCTCCTATTAACACTTAAAGTGTACAAGCCAAGCGATTACTAAATCCTCACATAAATTTAACACCACTTTGTGGCAATTCAACAGTCCTGTAATCCATTAACCTGGAAGACAACGGTGTCGTCAACCAGCTGACGTTGTCTAAAGACAGCATTTTTACGATTAAGAAAAGCGAGTGGGCTTGGGAAGGACACGTCGTAAGATGAACAAGGTGGCGGATGGACAAGACTAAGTAGTGGCAGCTGAAGGAGGGAAAGGGCCCAAAGAGCAAGTCCACCACGGAGATCACGCACCGAGGACACTGGTTCGTCTTGCATTGCGGAATGGCAGCCATTTAAGGAAGGCCTCTGTCCAGCAGTAGATTGATCATGGCTGATGATGACGACGATGACGACCGACGTCTACAATTAAAAGCCTGTCCTCAATCAATCGGGCATTCTGGTGTTAAAACTGGAATTTTGGAAGATGTGTGTGCAAATGCCTTCCATCGCTGTTCCCGCTCCACTGTGCACGCACTTTGTATGTTGATTCTCTGTCAATTGTTCGCAGGTATCATTATATCAAGAAAAAACGTTCACTTTTATAATCTTAAAAGTTTGATAACATTTTACATGAGATGGTCATTCCCTTGGAAGCCCTGATGTCTCTCCCTGTTACTCGGGTCTCCCTTTAAATGGGGTCTCACCTGGTTGAAATAAAGCCGATGAATTAAAGTCCCGATGGATATAACGACTGAGTCGCCGCCACAGAAATGTGGAATTTCCACGTCTGAAAATTGTGGATTTTTATTTTTGCAACATCAAAAGATTGCGGGACGGAACTCCGCCTCACTGAGATGGAGTTTCACCCCAAAATCTTTTGGGTTGAGAGACACTTTGGCTACAATTATGATGCAGCAATTCATGTGCCAATGCGGTGGATCGATGGCGCAGTGGTCGGCACACCTGGGGTTGAGGATCCGAGTTAGATTCCCGGGGAACGGAGAAAGAGCCTCCATTGGGTGGGTGCCCTACACTCAACTACACAGCCACTGCAGGGGTCATTTGGCCTACTCTTCCTCCAAGCTGGACAGATTGTCTTGGAAGAGGTGGGGGTTACCCACACTTTACCCCACCACACGCGACCATGGTGTCTATTCACATACACGATGTTCTACCAGAAACGGTGCAGTATTTCAAAGCATCTGAAAGTGCGTGCTCCGAATACAATTGCTGTATAATAACTATCACAGAGTATCACCACATTCATTATAAAGGACCAACGAGATTTACACATTTGAATATACAATTACATGACGATCAATTCCGCCCAGGAAAGTGCATGCAAATATCCCATCTTCCTTTAAAATTCGATCATTAATGCGTCAGTTTGCTTAAAATGTTCAATGTCTTAATTGTGCTAAATGATAATCTTTCAATTTCTGAAAGTGTGTAATTTGTGCCACTTTGGGCACACAATACAATGAAGACTCGACCTGATCGAGAAGGAGTGTCGTTTGAGTGCGACGTGTGAATGTGTCAAATGCACCGTGTTCCAGCTCACAACACGTGTCCATGTGAAAGCATTGTTACCTGGGTCTCATTTCGGGTACACTTTCCAATGGGCAACGTTTTACCAGACGACGGGCAATGACACATGCACGCGGTGACAACCTTCAACGTCTGTAATCAGTTCGCTAGCGCCACGTGGTTTTACTCTTTAAGAGGCTTCACTCCCTAAAAAGTGCCGTCGATTGGCAGCGAGCAAAAACTAAATCCGAGTCGGTGAGAATGTCTCTTCCTTGCCAAACGCCGTCCCAACGTGTGATCCCCCCTCCTCCTCCTCTGTATCGCTCATGTTACGCGACAAGTCTCCCCCCTCACTTTGATCCACGTGCACTCACAACAACGACTGCGACGATAACAACGCCCCGAATCTCATCGGCGACAAACTAAAACTTCCCGACATCTCTCGCACTCCGCCGCCACCCCCCGCCCTGACCAATCAACACAGCAGCCTGCGACTCCCGAAGGGCGAAGGCCGACTTCTCTCTCCCGCCGTTGCTCCATCTCCCCCCCCCCTGCCTTCTCCACGACACACTCGGGGTGTCCCCAGGCCGAAGCAGCTCCCTGCCACAGCTCACGAAGCAAGGGGCAAGCAAGGGGGAAGACGGGCAGGCAGTGCCGCCTCCCCATCGTACCCAGCAAGCTTCCCTCGTCAAGAGAGCACCCCGCCACCACCTTCATCCTGTGTCCCCTCCACGTGGCTCCATGTGGAGCCACGTGGAGCCACGTGCTTCCTGCTCCTCGCGTGGCGGCAACTGAACCACAGCGACTCGTGTGTGTGGTGGTGTGTATGTGTGTGGTGGTGTGTATGTGTGGTGTGTGTGGTGGTAGTGTGTATGTGTGTGTGGTGGTGTATGTAGTGGTGGTGTGTGTGGTGTGTATGTGTGTGGTGTGTGTGGTGGTGTGTGTGGTGGTAGTGTGTGTGGTGGTGTGAGTGTGTGTGGTGGTGGTGTGTGGTGGTGTGTATGTGTGGTGGTGTGTGGTCGTGGTGTGTGTGTGGTGTATGTAGTGGTGGTGTGTATGTGTGTGGTGGTGTGTGTATGTGTGGTGTGTGTATGTGTGGTGTGTGTGTGGTGTGTGGTGGTGTGTGTGGTGGTGTGTGTGTGGTGGTATGTGTGGTGGTGTGTGGTCGTGGTGTGTATGTGTGGCGTGTGTGTGGTGTATGTAGTGGTGGGGTGTGTAGTGATGGTGTGTGGTGGTGGCGTGTGTGGTCGTGGTGTATGTGTGTGGTGTGTGTAGTGGTGGCGGTGTGTGTGGTGATGGTGTGTGTGTGGTGTGTGTGGTGATGGTGTGTATGTGTGGTGTATGTGTGGTGGGTGTAGTGGTGGTGTGTGTGGTGTATGTGTGTGGTGTATGTGTGTTGTGTATGTGTGTGGTGTGTGTGTGTTGTGTGTGTGTGGTGTGTGTTGGGTGCACGGCACGCTACGTCCTGTAAACTGTCAAAGCCCCCTTCTGAAGCTCGCAGCACAGAGAGACAACTCGCAGCGATCCGCTTACCCTGAATGGTCGTCAACGAGCAAGTATGGGGCTGTGGTGGTGGTGCTGGGGGTCCCTTTGTCTCCGTCTCTCTCTCTCTCTGCCTTGTTCCCCCCCTTGTCTCGACCGCGTCTTCTCGCTGTGAGCCCGCAACACGCAGCAGAGAGGGGAGAAGGAGCGGGGGGTGGAGCTGGGACCGCGTGGTGTGGGGGTGGTGACGGCCATACGAGATTCCACACACATACACACACACAAACACACATACATATACACACACACAAACACACATACATATACATACACACATGAAACACACACACAACAACAACCGCCATTCGCCACTAAGTGGCGGTGACGTCACCACGACGCTTGTGCCAGGCTATGTGCACCCTGAGGCCACGTGAAGTGTCGAACGCCCGCTGGCAGGAGGTCACGGGGCAGACCCAGGTGCTACGCGTCGACTGACTGAGATGACTGGCTGATGCACCACCTGTGCCCCCTACTGTGCCAACCTGCTGTCCTTTAGCCACCCGTTGTTGTGAGCGCCGCTCCTCCGCCCTCCGTTGTTGTTGGAGGGCCACTGCCTCCAACTGCCCAGTAGCGTCCTTCACGAGCCTCCTCCACAGAGGCCGATCTTGACACCGCTGGTACCGGTCATCGGCAAGTCCACTCAGCTCCACGTCCTCCTGTACCACATCATTCCATCTCTTCTCTAGCCCGTGCCGCGCCCGCTTAGCCCCCTCAATCCGGCCGAACAAAAGCTGTTTCGGCATGCGGTGGCTGGGCATGCGGGCTACATGACCCAGCCATCGCAGCCTTGCCCGCCGGAGGAGCTCACCGATGGGACCTTGCCCAGATCTTTCAAGGATTTGTGAGCTCCTCACACAATCCAGTCTGGTTAAACCCAGGATGGATCGTAGGCAGGCCAGCCTAAATGTTTCTAACCGGCGAAGACGTTCCATTTAGGGGGGTCCACGTTTCGCAAGCGTAGAGAAGGGAGGGAATGACCGTGGCCGAGAAGACCTGAAGCTTAGTGCGGAGCGACAGACCAGGTAGCTTCCACACAGCGTTATGCAACCGATGAAAAGATATTGCCGCTCGACTGATTCGGAGTGAGACTGCTGTTAAACTGGAGCTGGTCATAAGCACATTGCCAAGGTATGGGAAACTCTCCACTCTCTCCACAACTGCCCCATCACCAATTGGGAGTGCTTGTTGTGGTGAACACGCCATCATAATGTATGATGCATTGTCTTTGAAAAGTTCCCATTTTGTAGCTGCTCCTCCCGATGCTCTGATCGTGGCATTGTCCTAGATTTGAAGTTTTCGTGATTGCAAGGATCCATATTCTTTGTTGCAATCGGTAAAATCACGCAGGTGATGATTGGTTGTGTTGCAATCGAAACGTCGTGATTTTTTTTTCACCTACGTGACTTTACCGAACAAACCAAAGGATAGTGGCATCGTCCTTGTGCTGTTCGTCTTTTGGTGTTCTCTGGTCTGACAATGGTGACACGAGGCCCTGAGGAAGGTTGCTGCTGTCTTTGGTGTAGGCAAATCAGTTTCAAAGACTGCCATATATAATTATCAGAGCGTGTTTGTTTGCATGTTCACCACAAGTACGTGAGATTAATGCGAACTTGATTCCTCGCAAAAGGTTTCTGTTTGGTATTTGAACATCTTAACACAAACTGTTTTATTGCCTGAAAGGTTAAAACCTACTCTCATTTTTGTCGTATTTTGATACTTCGTAAAAAGGTCTCACTTCGTATAAAAAAAAAACGTTGTTACAATAACTACAACTCGTTGCAAGTGATCTTTCTTTGTTGAGCGCAATGCAAAGCCGCGGCAAAGACGCAACATTTCAATAAAGAATTAAAGCTTTCGTGACTGCATAAATTACTCAGTGTTTTTTTTTTCGGTAAAGTCACGTATGTAGAAATATCACAAAACCACATTAAAATAAATCAATCACGACGTTTCGACCGCAACACAAGCGATCGTCATCAGGTGTAAAAAAAAAACATATCGACACCAACGCAACACATTTGAGAGTGCCAAACTGCACGGAGGTAAACACAACAAGAAGATGAGAGACGAGAATTCAACAAACCTAAGAATTTCGATTTAAAGCTTTCGCGACTGCAAGGATTCATCTTCTTTGGTTCTTTCGGTAAAGTCACCACCACCACGTAGAATGAGAATATTTTTATTTTATTATTTTATTCTCATTCTACGTGACTTTACCGAAAGAACCAAAGAAGATGAAACCTAAGAACATTTCGCAATATTTCGTCAACCCCTTTGGTGGTTGTAAAATTAAAGCCCCTTGACAGATTTAGACGCCACAATTTCCGAGACCGCCCTTCTCCAAATCTGCTCGTGGCGGGGCGGTTCCTGTGGCGCTGTTGTGCAAGTGGCGTTAGGAGGTGCCCCCTGGGGCACCGGCATCTTCATCTTGGCGGGAAAAGCAAAAACAAAAGTGTCAAACCCCTCCCCCCGATGGGGTCGGGCAAGAGGAAGGACGTTCTTACAATTCCTTTACTGCTCTAACTACCGGACATCTGTGGGTGGGTTGGGGGGAGCTTTATAGCTCATCGCAAAGTAAGACGAAACTCCATATAACCAGCACAATTACACCACAAAAACAAACCCGTCCATAAATGACGTCACGCGATTTTTTACCTCACAAATCGTCACCAATGTCCCTTGTGGTGATGGGACTTTTTGTAGGATGAACGTTGAGATTTATAAGGGCACGGGGTGACCAATAAGGTATGAATTTGTGTGTAATACGGTAGGCACTGATAAAGGGTTGACAGATGTGCTACCGTATGATAAGAAGCACCATCAACTTTGACTTTTATAAACTTCTTATGCAGTGCCTGGGATTAAAAAAAAAATCCGTGATGCTTCGTAGAATATTGTTGATTATTTTAGTGCGGGGGGAGTGGTGGCGCAGAGGTGAACGCACTTTCTCGAGGAACCCGGCCACCCGAGTTCGGTTCCTGACCGCGGCTACCGTCAGTGGCAAGTGAGATGCGAACCGCTCCTGCCCCTTCAACTGTTCACCCACCTGCGCTGACCAGCAGGGTGAAGTATGGTGCGTTATCAATACCGTACAATATCATCAGACTATGTTGGGTCAGTATTGCTTCCATTGCTGTGTTGTACCGTACTTCTGCGCGTCTACGTCTTACGTCTTCCGCATTAGCCAGCGTGGTGAAGTATGGTCAAATAGCGCTAACGCGGCGTGGGAATGAAGGTCTTCCATCCGGCAGTGGTTTGACAAAGGGCTGAACGTACGCGGGATCAGTGCTGTTAGCGAGCACCTATTAAGGCGGGCACGGAACACGGTTTTCACTCCTCAACGCTGAGATCTACGGTACCTGCTGTGCTCATAAACTGAAGGAGAGCAACAGGATGTTCAGGTAGTCCAGAAAGAGGGCCCCCAAGAGTGAGTTTGAGAGTTCAAATCCCAAACAGGGTCAACTTATAGCCTGACCATCATACCTTCATGCTCTTTAAAATATGTAGTGGTTGGACTGGACATTGCCACAAGAACGTGGAGTTGCTTCCACCGGCTCGAGATAAACAAAAAAAGCAACGTGCAAGTTCATTTCTGAACATTGGGACTCAAGGGCTTGTTCATACGTCGGGTTTGGATGTTCAAACCCACACGCAACATTTAACCACAATACCGTGCTTGCGACAAACACAACAAGCAGTATGCAAAACCCATTCAAGAGTTACTCAACTATTGATGGCCTTGTTCCCTTTGCAGTTGCGGCGGAATTGTCGGCATGGTTCCACGTTTTTTTTGTGGCGTTGCATTCCTTTCTCCTTTTCTTCCACTCCGAGTCCATTGCAATGCAGTGACATCGACGTCGCTCATTCATCCAGAAGACGTCACCGAGTCTCGTAACGATTGCTGGAGAGTCCAGCATGTGGGGGATGTTTGGCCAATTCTACGAATGGATGTTTGGCTTCACGTGGGAAATCAGCGTACCTGGAGTAAAAACACCGCGGATATAGACGGGTTGCACCAAACGCTTCGCACAGATAGATTCAAGAATTCATTACTGCCCTGCCATCTCATCGCAGCACAAGCCTGCAACGCGTAGATTCCAATGTGATGGACAGATGCTTTACGATGACGTTCTGGGACTCTGAGATATATGCAGTATTTGGACAGGTTCAATTACTCATCATATCTTTTCTCTGGGGTGTCTATAAATTCAGCACAGTGTGCCACTTTGCAGTCATTCAACGGTTGTTGTCCTGTGGCTAGCCTGGCGCCCACCATGGGAATGTGGAATGTACACCACAGGTGCAGGAGAGACACGCGTTTACTTTGTCTACAGACTACACCTTGTGCACGTGCAGCCCTGGTAGTAGTTAGTACCTTGTATCAACTCATAATAACAGAATAAAGATGTTACACAGCGTACTGTAGTAGTAGTTAGTACCTTGTGTCAACTCATTATAACAGAATAAAGATGTTACACAGAGTACTGTAGTAGTTAGTACCTTGTGTCAACTCATAATAACCAGAATATAGATGTTACACAGCGTACTGTAGTAGTTAGTACTTTGTATCAACTCATTATAACAGAATAAAGATGTTACACAGCGTACTGTAGTAGTTATTACTTTGTGTCAACTCATTATAACAAGAATATAGATGTTACACAATATTGTAGTAGTAGTTAGTACCTTGTATCAACTCATTATAACAAGAATAAAGATGTTACACAGCGTACTGTAGTAGTTAGTACCTTGTATCAACTCATTATAACAAGAATAAAGATGTTACACAATACTGTAGTAGTAGTTAGTACCTTGTACCAACTCATTATAACAAGAATAAAGATGTTACACAGCGTACTGTAGTCGTAGTTAGTACCTTGTATCAACTCATTATAACAAGAATAAAGATGTTACACAGAGTACTGTAGTAGTTAGTACCTTGTACCAACTCATTATAACAAGAATAAAGATGTTACACAGCGTACTGTAGTAGTAGTTAGTACCTTGTATCAACTCATTATAACAAGAATAAAGATGTTACACAGAGTACTGTAGTAGTTAGTACCTTGTACCAACTTATTATAACAAGAATAAAGATGTTACACAGCGTACTGTAGTAGTAGTTAGTACCTTGTATCAACTCATTATAACAAGAATAAAGATGTTACACAGCGTACTGTAGTAGTAGTTAGTACTTTGTA